GCCGAATGTCCTTCGCCAGTTCCGAGACACAGGCATCCATATACCTTCTGCTCAGCCTCTCTGTGGTGTTTGATACTAGTATCACTTCTACTCCTGCCTGCGATCAGCTATAGGAGACAGCAATAATCCTCAAAGAGAATAGAAACCTAGTACTTTTTTTCTATGTTTTTTTGCCCACAGCATGCTGCAAGAGTCAGTCTGTTCCCCTCCTTTTCTTGATTCACTTTCCTCTCCCCCATTGTTCAACTGTTAAACAAAGTCAGTGGGAAAACAGGTAAGTCACCATGAGGTCATCAACCTGAACTGTCTGCAGATGTTTGCATCCTAACGAAAAAAGTTTTATTTCCAGTTTTCTCCACGCTTGTTCCAAATGCATGTTTGGATAGAGAGCAGCTGGCTGTAGCCAAATCCTGGCAAGACAGGGCAATAGTGGCTGGAAGAAGGAAGCACTTCAAAGAACGTGCATCCCCATGAGTATACTACTGTAAGCATCAGCTCCCAGATTATGAAACTGGTCAGCAGCATCACAGCTCTCTCAAACTCCTCATTTCCATCTGCAGATGGCTAGAAGATTGCATCTGCATCCCACCAGAACTGGCCACTGTGATTCACACAACCTTCGAACTCAATGACTCCAGCTAACACTGAGGAGTAAAGCCTGCTCCAACTTCCACAACATGCGGCAGCCTGTCTGCTTGGTTCAATATGTGCCTCCAAACATCTCACACTAAGGCTCTGCATGCTACACTTGCTCCTCACTGTTTACAGTCCATAATAGTTCTAGTTGTCAAACTCTAGCCTGGATATTCAGAAGTCACTGCAGGACTAAACTGAGCTCCTTGAAAGTGTCCATCCTCCTACAATTCTCTTTTTAAATGGAACAATAGACATGTTCATCACTAGTAGATGTTCCAAGAAGTCTGGACAGGCCATTCACTGGAGCTGCTTTTAGACAATGGAACTCATTGATTAAATGATGATACGTCTTGCTTTTCAGTCTCAGTGCATTCTTCCTCTGTTTATACATACTGATATGAATAGATATCAAAACACTGTGGAAGTCACACTATTCTTCTTACAGGTTGGGGATCAGGGACACGAAGAAAACTATTTTTGATTTTAAATAGTTTAGGGAGCACTCAGGCCCAGGTACTTCAAGGCATTTAAGGAAGTTAAGCTTCTTTAGGAAAGGGAGTTTAAATCATACCAAGATACATGCTAACATAGTTTAGAAACCATTACTTTAGCCACTACAGACCAGGAAAAGCTGTTTCTGAAAGCAGTATTTCATGTAAGTCCATTCTGGGGTAATATTAATGGGAAGCAAATATCCAAAACCACATGAAGAACTTAGATCCCGTGCTGATGAGGAGTATAAGGTGCCTAGATAAACAGATGTTATATTTTTTTTCTTCCTCAGGCTACTTTTTGGAATGGTGAAGTAATGAGCTTAACAAACTCTAATTAGTTCTTATAGCTAAAAACAATATTTGGTAAAGCATTTCACACTTCAATAATTTTCCAGTAGTACTAACCAGGCTTTCCATTGCAGTTACTTAATCCTTCATAAACAATTGTTGAATATGATTAAGATATATTAAAAGTTAGAAATTAAATGTTAGAAAAATGTAAATAAATATGCTACAAATGGTTCCCTGAGGCAGGTAACAACTGCTTTTCCTGTGTTACAGTGCTTAAGTTGGTGGGGACCTGTTATTTGTGGCTCGGGAGTACTACATCCTCAACCCTAGTGACCAACACTGTTGAGAATAGTAACAATACAAATATGCCTGTAAAAATGCTTCAAATGTTAAGTATTCTGCTAACCTACTAGATGCTATACTGTTAATTAACCATTTTCTAATTTATAATATCTTTTAAAATATTTATAAATGCACACTTAATTCAAACTAAATGCCCAGTTTATGGAGGCACAAGCTGGAAAGAATCTGGGATAACATCATAAGAAAGAGTCATATAATTCTATTATCTTCCACTGGCATTATGGTCTCCTTCTGAAGCCTGTTATTTGTGCCTATGGCTGTGTAAGGACTACTCTTACTTATATTTCCAAGGTCTGTGTTACAATTGTCTCCTACTGGGAAGGCATGACAGGGACCTGCTCCCTCCAGGGAGAAGGCCCTTGGCTGGAACTCTGATTTTTTTCTTGCAATATAATGCTGGTCCATTTTATAATATCAGAAGAGATCTCCTGCGATGCAGCAGAGTAGGAAGCAGTGGCCGGAATGCAACAAACCCACTACTATTCAATATAGATCACAATTATTATCACACAGATTATGCTTTATTAGAGATTTAATGCTCATTCATTGTAACTTCATTTTCAAATGTTTTAATCATCACTAAAGACAATCCCAAATTAGATTCTGCAATGTTATCTTCAGTAAATCTCATAAGAACTGACCCAGTGAAATAATCAACCTATTCCTAGCTCTCATTGTTTCTCCCAAAGCCCCAGTCTTCTTCTGAGGACCCTTGTCTTTTTATACCCTAGTCGTTGACTCTTGCTGTGATACATTCCAGATTCAGAGGCTAAAAAAGATTTAGTTTACACCTCTGAAATACTGAAAACAGAGGGTGAATGGAGTCAAGATACCACTCACACAACACAGAACCAGAACCTACAGTAACAGGATAAATGATGAGACCCCTGGCAAATCTGATAAAAACGAAGTTTAATTTTAACTTCCATTGCTGTTACTGAATTACTGAGTGAATTCCTTAAGAAAAAAGAAGAAAAAGCTATTTCGTTATCAAAATAGCGCGCGGTGAGATAGGGGGATGGCAAATAAAGTGAGGTTTTGTATTTTATATTACCGTTGCCTCCAGCACAATGCTAAACCCCACTGAGCAAGTAAATTTATTGGCAAAACATGTTATAAACTGAAAGGCCACTTAAACTATTCCTCCTTTAAGCTGCTATTTTTGTGTCCCAAATTGGTTGGCATATTGAACGACCAAGAACTGAGATTCAGCTCATCACTCCTTGGCATGATGATAAGGGAGAAGTGAGGTTTGTTTATTGATGGCCTGAACCTTCCCTTATTAAAAGAAATACCAAAATGCTCACAAGGAGGAAAATCATACGCTCATTATCAGGAGGAGGGAATATGAAAAACAGGTTCCTCCTTTTCCCTCTCCTTAAAATAACGTTGGTTCCTTTTTTCCATAGTGATGGACAAAGATGCCCAACTGGAAAGCAGTAATTCATGCTGAAACAATATTTGATATTTGCCCATTAAATAGACTTTATCTAAAGAGATAATTAGGACTTCTTTTTCTCTCCCACTTATTTTCTTTCAACTTTTATCTTCGCAGTGGCAGAAAGCAAGATAAAAGGTGATATGGTATTACCCTCTTTGTAGAAATAAATGGAAGAAGTTAGTTTTTGTATCTTCACCAGCTGGGATTGGCACAAGGCCTTTAAGCAAGACTTTCTGTTTTGGGTCTATCCGTATTCGGAACTGTCATCATTCAGATGTCTGACAACTAAATAGCTGGATGACATCCACAAAGCTACTGGCATAAAATGGGGAAAACCAAACCAAAACAACCTCCCAAAACCCTCTTAGAAACAGATCTCCTGTTCCCCGCAGCTAACCACTCTTCTTGTGCACAGCTCACGCAAAGCAGGTGGTTCCACAGTAGCACCCAGATACACTCCTGAAAGTGACTCAAATGCACACACTGGCTCAATAAGACACAATTTAATTAATGGTAAACCCTGTCCTGTTCTAGTACAGATGCACAAAGGAATAAGGTTTTTCAAAGCACTGTAGTGCTTTTATTTAATTTAGAAACCCACGGGGTCAGTTTGCCACAGGTCTTTATCAGCATAGCTGTACTGAAGTCAGCTTGGAACAAGGCTTTGATTTTTACACCGGATTTGGGGACACAAGAATGAAAAAGACAAAAAACTCCAATCAAATAATAAGTCAGAAGATATTCAGATGATTAAATGCTTTAAAGTTAAAAAAAAAAAAATTATCGAAAAAGTTGCACCCAGTAATCCTTTAAGAGCCTGGTTTCTGAGCAGAAAGTTTCAGGGGGAAGGAGATAGGGATCTGCAATGTCCTTTAAGGATCAAATCTATCCAGTTTTGTTTCTGGCAGGTTCCTTTTATTTATTTACCTCACATTTTTCCACTGCTGGTTGCTGCCCGCACTCGGAGCTGTTCCCCGCCACAATGCCAGCCCGCAGGCTCTCGCTGTCGCCCGTCCCCTCTTCCATGGAGTAGGTTTTGGAGTGATTGCCACGGTGGTGCGCGGGGCTGCGACTCTGTGCCAGGCTGAGCTGCTTGCGAAGCACGCGGTTCTCTTCCTCCACCTCCCGCATGCGGACTTCCAAGCTCTCCCGCTCCCGCTGGCTCGACGCCGTGTACCGAGGACTGTGGGGCTGGGATTCAAGCGGAGACAGCGACACTGGCTTCCCATCTGCCAGAGGAGGAAACAAAGCACTTCTGTCAGAATACACTTTAAGTCACGTTTCCCTTTAAAGTCAGCATTGTGAGGCAGGGATGCGTTTCAAATACAGCCACTTTTTACGCAGACTTGGCACTCTGAGGCAATGCTTAGGTGCATGGTAACTTGGACAAACGCTGAAGTTCTATGAGCTACAGGTCCTACCAATTTTAAAAACACACTAAAAGATAAGCACGTGTTTCTTTTGTTCCAAATAGGGCTGCCTGCCAGTTTCCAGTCTGGGAAGACAGTCAAGAACAGAAGGATTTAATTCAAAGACAATTAATTTATAGTTAAATATATTTTAGAAATGTATGCAAGACAAAATAATTTTCCTATTCCCCATTTCCTCCACAGTCAAGCTACAGCATTTTGGTTACCATTTTGTGCCAAACAGTAGCCCCAGCTGATTCACATGTGAGGAGCAGATGGTTTTTATTCAGCAACACAATATTATGTGCTTACTGAGAAATAAGAGGTTCAGAAGGACAAGAAATATTCAATACACATGTGGGTCAATTTCTGTAACGTATTTTGACTGAAAAAGACAACAAGGGAATTTTGAAAAAAAGTAAAATGGTTCAATTCAACATCTTTAACTGAAAAGTTATATTCCAGAAATATGAAAGACCTAATTTTCACATTTTCGAAAGTATCTTCTTTGTTCAAAACAGGATTAAAAATAAGCTAGATATAAAGCACAAAAAAGATAAATTAACCAGAAACCAAGGTCCATAACCAAAGACAACAATTGCAACACATTCTACCACCACTTCCCAATATATTATTGCTACCAAATTTTAAGGAAGCAAATCAGGATGCAGCTGATGTGTTTTCAAAGGAGGCATGTTTTCACATAACTTTAATAAAGCTATATATATATATATATATGCAGAGTACAAATGCTTGAAAGTTGGTAAAAACCCTCAGACCAAACAACTGTTCAAAAATGTTCAATTGACTTCAAATTGAAACGAAGCAAAAGACAGTGAGAGTTATCCACAGGGTCATAATTAGCAAGACATTCCTTTATAGTGAAGATACGTGAGAATCTTTTACTAAGGTATTTCTCTGAAATAAGTTTCTACCTGCATGTATTAAAAAAATGCTATTTAATAATTTTTCCAATGCAGAGAGTCCCTTCGGCTTTATCAAACAAACACCACCTTGAATGGTTTAGAAAATGGAAATAATGCAGCTACTGTTTAGCAGTTCTTCTTAACAAGTACATTTCTCACCCTCTGACTCAAAACTATCTCCCTGCTATAAAGACCTGCTCATTGCTTGTTCCCTTCCATTGTCTCATATTTACATGAATGGTGAGCAGTCCTCTAAACTCAGTTCATGAAAAAATGGCTACCGAAATCAAAACCTCAATTCTAATTTCCATTGTTAAGCTATACAGGTGTACACACTTCCTGTTATCTATATAAAGAGCTATCCTGGGTTTAATACACCATGTGCATAGAGAATATCTTGCATTTGTTTGCAGACTTTCTCCTGCAAAAAATTACTAATTTATTATTTTTATCATTAGCAAAGCTATGGATAAATCTGAGCTTGGAAAACATCTCAAGACAGATTCTGAAGTTTGGCCACTAACATTTTGGAACTTGAACGCTCAAGCAAATAGTTATTAAAAATTAAATGCCTGATAATAAATAAAAATTAAAAGCCTGAAAATCATGGGTGCAACAGTCGAGAAATGTCAACATAAAGGACAGAGCCATGCTACAATTAGATGTGCAATAAAACACTGAATTAGTTTTCTCCATCCAGCTTGGAAGGCATGGAACTGAAATTGTGTTATTTCTCAGCTGCTGATACTCAAGCTAGGAGGACTAAAAATCATATGGATCTGATTATATTGCATTCCTATTACTGGACAGCAAGAGTATATTGTGTAGACGCTCTCAGATAAAAAGAAAAATAGAACCTCTACTCCCTACACAACACCCAACCTGTGTTATCATCAGACATACAATTACAATGCAAATCTACCCAAAGGTTTCACTGGAAATCATAACTCTCTACTTGGTTAATATCCAGTATGACACAGATGTTACTTATTTCTTCCTATTCTCATCATTGGATTCCGCTATCTTCTCAAAGGTATCAGAAAATGTAGTAATATACAGAAGTAAATCTCAGAACATTCATAAAAATTTCAAACTTGAAAAAATTTAGACATGTCTGCAAGTATTCTATGGATATAAAATGTCACAAATCTTGCTTTCCTAAAATTAAAAATTAACCAAAAAAGATATCATTTTATACATCTGTACAATTGTAGCTATATTTATGAAAACAGCTGAACTGTTTCTACACAATATTTAGAAGAAACATCACAGTCTGAGAAAGGGATTGAAAGAAAATACCACCTCACTGCCTCAGACTGGAAGTTGCAGCAACTAAAGAGACCAGCTCAGTGTTTATGCAGCCTCAGCTTTAAATGCCAGTAAACTCCACTACTGTACTCATGTATGCTCAGTGGTGCATAGTTCTGCTGGCAAGTAAAAAGCAGCAAGGAAATCATGTCAGGAATTATACAACCAGCTAGCTGCTTCATCTGAAATATATGACTAGTTGAAATGTATTGATTTACTATAAAAATTATCCATGTTTTGTTACAAAGTCCTAAGTCCAAGACATTTTCTGGGATATTCCTCAGAATTTGTACAGCTGGACAAGTCATCATGTTTTGTTACTAACACTGCTGATTATTCTCAGGTATATATTGATGTATTTGGTATATTCGTAACACCCCAACTCCCTGCAGCAAACGATAATGTGACGATTCCAGGACCCATCTGAAATAAAAGTATAAAATCAAGAGTGAATTGAGTTTGATCTTCAGACTCAGAAATCAAATAATTTTTGTCATAAATGCTGAGATGGTCTAGCTTATAATTTTTGCACATCTGAGGTTGGCAAGGCTGGTGGCAAGGTACTATTTGATTTAGTCCTATTACCAGACTTGATACGTGAAAGTATTTTTACTTCAGTGAACATACAGACCTGGCAAAAATCCTCTTGGGACCTACTGCCTAGTAAGCAAGCACCAACACATGCTACCCTGATCTCCTTCCTATCAGTTTTCAAGGCAATGCAAGGACTGTGTGTTTCACCTCATCTTTGAAGAAGGAGTAAGTGGACTAATGTAGGGGGCCACTAATATTTGACTGTGTGTGCTGCTTGGTAGAAGAGTTAAACTGATTGCACTGCACTTGAGTTTTATAGTTTTAAGTAACTGGCAGAGCGCTCTGAGCTGATGTCTAGGCACTTTTTATCTAATCTAAATCAAAATAAAGTAACATAACACATAACGAGGTCTGTGTGACTTTGGGACAAAAGATCTCCCAGGGAACACTGCAAGGAACATTGCTGTGCTCTGAAGCAAGCAGTACACTTTTGAATGGTGCAATAAATAATAATAAAGCTATTATTTTTTTATTCTTCATTTGGGGTTATTGCTCTATTTTTGGGCCTTGGCAGTGTCAGATTAAATTTTTTTTCTTCCTCTGTCAAGCCTTTTACTTCAGACTTTCTGTGCTAGTACAACTGTACCAAAGAAATAAAAATGACCTACGAAATTCCACTGTCCACAAAACAAAACCCAAACACAAACCTGAATAATTATTTCATGGTTGACAGCAGTCAATGACTTATCATCACAGTAGGTCCAACAATTCAGAAAACTTGACAATATGCAAGTTATGTATTCTATGGATTATTGAATGCTTCTGCATATATGGAGTCACCTGTACTTAAGGCAAGAGATTTCCTTAAACCTGACTTAAGCAGAGCACCTTAATCACAGAATCACAGAGTGGCAGGGGTTGGAAGGGATCTCTGGAGATCATCTAGTCCAAACTCCCTGCTAAAGCAGGATCACCTAGAGCAGGTTGCAGAGGATCGCATCCAGGCAGGTTTTGAATATTATCTCCAGAGAAGGAGACTCCACAACCTCTCTGAGCTCTGTCACCCTCAAATAACGAAGTTTTTCCTCATGTTCAGATCAACTTTCTGTGTTCCAGTTTGTGCCCGTTGCCTCTTGTCCTGTCACTGGGCACCACTGAAAAGAGTCTGGCCCTGTCCTCTTGACACCCGCCCTTTAGATATTTATAAGCATTGATGAGATCCCCTCTCAGTCGTCCCTTCTTCAGGCTAAACAGACCCAGCTCTCAGCCTTTCCTCATACAAGAGATGCTCCAGTCCCCTAATCATCCTCATAGCCCTCTGCTGGACTCTCCCCAGTAGTTCCCTGTCCTTCTTGAACTGGGGAGCCCAGAACCAGACACAGAACTCACCAGGGCAGAGCAGAGGGAGAGGATAACCTCCCTCGACCTGCTGGCCACATTCTTCTCAATGCATCCCGGAATACCATTGGCCTTCTGGGCTACAAGGGCACATTGCTGGCTCATGGATAACTTGTTGTCCACCAGGACTCCCAGGTCCCTCTCCACAGCGCTGCTTCCCAGCAGGTCAACCCCTAACCTGTACTGCACAACACACTGGAAGAAATAAAGCCTATAGAAAGCAATCCAGCATAGTTTATTTGAAAGGCGAGGGAATGAAGCAGGAGAATTTTCTTACATACAAAACCTAAAGGATAAACACTAATATCAAGTTCCCTGTTTTGTAGTTATCAGACTTGGAGATGTGATGGTCCTTTTCAGCGATGTTGGAAGCTTGTTGGGGAAAAAGCCACAGAGAAAATGAAGTTTAACCAAAGGTTAACTGCAGGGCTGGATAAGGGAGAAAGCAGCAGAGTGTAGAAATGAAAATCACCCTTATTCAGAGGAGAAGACAAGTGCAGAAGCAGGGATCCTGAATTTCTCAGACACCCCTGATCTGAACTCAAATGCCTAAAATTTTGTTTGGAACTAACTGAGGCAGGCAAATTTATTCAGCACATTGTGGGAATTTTTTCCTTAATTTTTTACATTTCTTTTGCTATCTTAAGTGC